GATATATGGACTTTGAAGTCTCTGTATGTATCTGACTACTTTACCATTTAATAACTCTCTTCTTGTTCTTTCTTTTTTCTTTATAATAAACTTTAGAACTAGACACCAAAGGATTGGCTGGCAGCGTGGGATTTTGGGTAAGATCCAAACTAATACTGACTTGCCAATGTGGCTGGCCCTTTGGGTTCAGAAGAACATTTTGTATAGTGAGCAGAGTTTTAAAATAACTTCTCGCTATACTGGTCCTAGGTGCTGATTGGGAGCCAGAGAACTGGAATGCAATAAAGGGGGCTGTGTGATTTCTTTTTCAGCTTCTTGATAACCAGTGTGGGGATCAGGAGCACAGTTTGCGACTGGGCAGTGAGTCTAACTTCAGGTTAACCACCAGTTTTGGGAGAATCTGTTCTCCCTTTTGCAGCCTACCTTGACTGTGGCATTTTCAGTGAGGGCTGCCCTAGGCACCCAGTTCACACCTGTCATGGTGTGATCTCTTTAGAATTCCTCCCACACTCCACAGAGATTCCTAAATTCACTTCACATCTTTCACAATTTGCTAAATAATGTTCTTGATAGTTTCTTGGACATGACAAACAAGTGTGGATCAGTAGGACTGGTTGGATGGTCTGGGTTCCCCACTCCTGCTTTGTAAATATCCTCTTGGCTACTAAAAGCCAGGAGTTTGCTCTGATTTGTGGGCTCATGTTGGGCATTGTCTAGGAAGGGGCTGGCGATTTTGGGAAATGGTCTCCAACCCAACAAGGAGCACAGGGTGGAGACAGGCTGTCCTTTCACCCCTGGAAGTCACCCCCACCCCTGTTTGTGCAGAGACCCTCCCTAGTGACTCTGGTGACAGACAGCGAAGGCCACGTCCCTCCGCATTCCTTTCCAGCCCCTCTTCCCTTAGGGCCTGATCCAAAGCCCATAGAAATCAGGGTGATTCTTTCAATTGACTGTAACAGAAGTTCGATCAGGTCCTTAACAGGCATCTGGAAGGAGAAAGTGCAGGATGAGAGAACTAGACTGACAGACTCACAGGAGCTGAGAGCACCCTGTCAGCCCACGAACTCCCTTTGGGCTGGGGTATCTTTCCTGTCCACCCACCACACCCATTCCTTGCTAAGGTCCATTTAACACTTGCCTGAAAGTTCAACAAAGTGGAAAATGAAAGGAAGGAAAAAACAGTATCTGGGCAGCACAAGTTTTACCTGACATGTTGTTACTGATCACACGTTTCTGTTCGGAGTTGCAGTGTATATTGGTACAATGGTAGTTGTTGGGGCCTCTTGTGCAGGGCGCTGTACAAACACAGGAAGAGACAATCCCTGCCCCACAGGGCTCTCCCAAGGTCTGTGGTCATCCAAGGCTGCCGTGCTCGGAAGAGCAAAGGCAGGGGTCAGTGTCATGATAGGGTAATAGAGCAGAAAGCGGGGGTGCTGTATCCTGGAGGGTTTTGGGGGTTAGGACAAGAGGCTTGTGTCTGGGGTAGTGGTGGAAGAGGGGCAGGCAATGGATGGGCTTGCAGAGGAGGGCAGGGTGAGAGCAGCAAGCAAGAAAGCCGATCTTAGCCGCATAGGGTTGCCAACTGTCTGATCGCACAAACCCAAACACCCTTGCCCCGCCCCCTACCCCGCTCT